GGGCGCGTGCACAGTCGCAGAAGCTGACAGAACACTCGAGAAGCGCTTGAAGGAAACCTTACAGGTGACAACCGGGGTCACCAAGGCCTGTGCTGGAGGAGCTAGAAATACAGGTATGAATGTAATTTCTCCAGAAGTAACGCGGCGAACACTGTTTCCAGAAAGGGCGTTACCTGGTCCAGATCCAGAGAAGAGTAGACAATCTTTCCTCTGTCATCTCCGGAGAACAATTTCATCCCGTTGGGGCTCCAAGCCAGGGCTGTGATGCTGTGTTTGTGAATTCCAGAGACGTCGAATCTCCGAAGCTACGGATCAACAACAAACGCACCCAGGAGGAGAAAAGGGTGAGATGGAGCCGGCCGCTGGACGGCGGGGTCACCTGCGCCGAGGCCCCTGCAGCCCGCACCGGCACTGCAGGAGCAGCGTTGGAGCTGGGTGTCGCCCTCTCCCCAGCCCCCATCCTCTCCCCAGCCCTGCCCTCTCTCCAGCCCCCCCCCGCCCTCTCCCCAGCCCCCCATGCTCTCCAGGCGCCACGTCGCACCCCGGGACGCGGGTGAGTCAGGCCAGAGGGCCCCGGCCCGCGCACCTGCTTGTTCCGGCCGGGCAGGGAGGACACCAGCTGGAAGACGGCGACCCTCCCGGAGGCCGTGCCCGCGGCCACCAGGTCGTCAAAGCAGCTCAGCAGCTTCACCACCGTGACGGGTTCCGTCTTGCCCTGGAAGGGGAGACGTTCCGAGGCAGATGCTCCTGTGACCAGTGGCAAAAGCCTCACCGGGAAGGAAATCGGGTGTGGACGTGGGGTTCTGACCGCAGAGTACGGCGGGGCTGCTCCCTCACAACGGGAGTCTGGCGTGGGCGAGCCGCCCACTGCTGGCCCGACTCTCCTGGGGACGAGTCTCCGAGCCGGCCGGAGATGCCTGTCCTGCCCCCGCGCCGCCTCTGGCTCCAGGCCCCAAGCTCCCTGCCCCTCAGGCTGCTGCCAGGACCGAGGAGCCAGGACAGCCGGGCAGACTCACAGCCTGCTCCTACCGTGATTCTCTCCAGCCTGGCAGCTGGTCATCTATCCCGCACGCGGACAAACACTGCACAGACCGATCACACGATGACGGCTCTCCTGAAACCGTTCACCCAGAAGCGCACAGCCCGCGTGACCTCGCCAAGACGCGCACCGGGTCTCCAGTGGGCCTAGCGGGCCCTGCTGTGGGGACCTACGCGGCGGCCAGCCTGTCCACACCAGCAGAGCCCTCTCCGGGGGTGTGCGGGAGCCGCCCGAGACGTGGGTGGTGGTGCGGCTCGCCCTACCCTGCTGCTCCAGCTCGCAGGGTGCTCTTGGGGGCAGAAATCCGTCTGTGCCAGGGTGCGGCACGGCAGGGACTTGGACGCCTCACTGTGGAAGGAGAGGAACCCTCAGGCACCCCGCTTGGCCAGTGCAGATGGGGGCCGCCACACGGGGGTGGGGGCGGGGGCCGGCTGCAGGCAGCTGGGCCCAGGAGGGCCGCAGCCAGGGAGAAAGCGGCCTCTGTGAGGGCCTGTGCGGAGTGAGGACGCGCACACAGCCGCTGGCCTCCACGCCGGCCGCCCTGACCACTGCCTTGGCCACCCTCGCACGACAGAGGCGACGTATCTCTGATGTCCCGAGAGAACAGGAGGCAGGAGCTGTCCCTGGCAGGGCGGGCTCGTGGTGCCAGGAGGTGGGCTCCCCCGCGGGGCCCGG